ATGCTAAATGCTCATTGAGCTGACGAAATTTGATGAGATCTGTCACAATTTCGTACTCATCATATAAAATGATCCGCAAAAGATCATATTATTGTATCGTTGCTGACGCCAGGAATCTTATTCAAGAGTTTCGATCTCGAGCATGTAGCCAATAGTATAGCAACAGGCTTGAATGATCACAGTCAATGTTGTGTTTGCGCCGATCGAAAACAAATGAACTGTTCATTTAATGGCTTCTGATTAATGTGATTTGAGCCAGGCAATGGCACACACACAAACTTCGAACATCGACACATACAAAAACTAGCGTACTCAGTGAAAGTACTTAACGCAATGTGCTAATTGCTATCAATTTCATCATTAATCACCTTTCGAATGATTGCAATTGGACACTTTTAAAGTTTTTGCGCACTAATCGGCGGTTCACTTTCACAGAGAGAAATTCAACGACTGAACAAATTAGAAAAGTTCACAATTTTGTAGTCTACATTTGAAAGAAAAATCGAGTGAAACGAACTTCGCATAAGAAGCGTTTGTTGTTTGGGGAATTCGTGCAGCGATATTGGTTCACTGAAGAAGCGTTCAGAAATCATCTCGACAATGTTTTCAGTGAATGCAAATTACTTTCATCTGTTTCATTTTTCAGTTGACTGATCAATTCGAGGGACGATTTGTGGTGCTGGCGTTGAGCGCAAACGGACTGGCGTTGTACTGGAAACAATGGGAGGTGACAATATCAAATATATTCCACCAGATAGCAATTTGAAACTTCAGTGGTGTTTTATTCCTTATCTGAGTAAATGAGAGTCTCACTTTAATTCAAGAGCCAATGAGAGCCAGCGATTTCAGAGCGATGCCCAACAACGGCTATCAGAAGCGATCTACGTTGACGAGATTGTGGATGTGTATGCGGGATGCTGCACGGAGACCGTAAAACAAAAGGTTCGGCAACAACGGGTAATGAATGCGTTGTTTGATGGGCCAAGCAAACTCTCTGTTCAGTGCACGTTTTATCATCAGTGTGTGCCTGCCTGATCAGAGAAGGCGTAATCGCACCTAGATTTGATCAGTAAATCATTTCGTTTGCATGGCGATCCAACGTTGATTATCTGTTGATTTGAAGTGTTAACCGTTTTTTTTTTCACTGTTCACTTTATTTTCGAATTTCAAATTTAGTTTCATTCGTATTTTTGACAACTTTTTCATTTTGGATTGGTTTTAGAGATTTCTTTCGTTTTCATT